GCGCCGGCGGCCGCCGCGCGTCGTCGTCGTCGCGCGCCGGCGCGGGCCGCGCGGCGGGCCCGCCGTCGTCGGACGACTCGCCGTCGCTCGAGTCGTCGTCGAGCGCCGCCGGCTCCGCGAGCTCGGCCGCGTCGACGCGCCGCGCGGCGTCGTCCGCGGCGCGCGCCGCGACGGCGCGCGCGACCGCGTCGACGGCGCCCGCCGGCGCCGCGCAGCGCGCGGCGTCGAGCAGCTGGGCCGCGAGCTCCAACGCCCGCGCGTGGGGCTCCGGCGCGAGGGCGTCCGCCGCGTCGTCCGCGCGCAGCGCCTCGAGGAGCCGCGTCGCGAGCGGCGCGGCCGCGCCGTCGCCGTCGCGCGCGAGGCGCAGCGCGTCGCCGCGGAGCGCGCGCCGCTCGCGCGCGCGGCGCGGCGCCGCCGGCTCGTCGTCGTCGAAGGCGCGCGGGAGGAGACACGCGGCGAACGCGGCGCCGAAGGCGTCCGACGCGACGGCCGCCGCGAGGCGGTCGGTCGCGGCCGCGGCGTCGCGGGTCCGGTCCAGGGCGCCGAGGTTCGGCGTCACGTCCGACGGCGACGACCCCGCCGGCGCCTCGCCGCCGCCCGCGACCGCGCCGGGCGCCGCGGCGGCGAGCGCGAGCACGGCGCGCGCCGCGAGGCCCCCGACGCGCGGCCGCGTCGCCGCGATCTCAAGGAGGGCGTCGAGCAGGCCCCCGAGGTCGTCGCCGAGGTGGGCGCCCGTCGCCGGCGGCGAGTTTTCCGACGACAGGAGGTCCAGGAGGAGACCGAGCGCCGCGCGGAGCGCGCGCGCGGCGGCCGCGTCGCCGCGCGACCGCAGGGGCTCGAGCAGCGCGCCGACCCTGCGGAGCGCGCCGCGGTCGCCGAGCGTGCGCTTCCAGGCCGGCGACCCCGCGGCGAGGGCCGACGCGACGCGCAGCCGCGCGAGGAGCGCCGCCGCGTCGCCGCCGGCGTCGACGCCGTCGAGCGCGGCCCAGGCCGCGTTCTCGCCTTCTTCTTCGCCGTCCGCCGGCGCGCCCGGCGGCGGCGCGGCCGCGGGCCAGGGCGGCGCCGCCCCGCCGCCCAGGGCCCGCCGCAGCACGCGCGCCGCGCGCCGCGCGGCCGCGGCGTCGCCCGCGCGCGCCGCGTCGACGCAGCGGCCGACGACGGCCGCGCGCGTCGGCCCGCCCGCGCGGCAGACCTTGGCCAGGAGCGACGCGGACCGCTCGCCCCAGGGCTCGTCGCCGCGCGCCGCGACGAGCCAGACGTCGACGAGCGCGGCGACGCGGCCGCCGTAGCCGTCGCGGCGGCTCCGGCCGTCCGCGAGCTCGAAGAGCGCGACGGCGGCGGCGCAGACGCCCCGCAGGCGCACCTTGCCCCGCGCGAGCTCCAGGAGCGCCGCCTCGGCGGCGCCCGGGTCCAGCGCGAGGCGATCCGCGGCCGCGGCGAGCCACGCGACGAAGTCGCCGTCGTCGCGCCGCGCGCGCGCGACGTCCGCGGCGTCGCAGAGCTTCAGGGGCACGGCGTGCTGCAGCGAGTTGACGACGACGAGGGCGTCCGACGCCAGCGCCAGCGCGAGGTCCAGCGCCGCGCGGTACGCGGGCCCCCCCGCGGCCTTCTCGGCCTCCGCGGCGTCGAGCGCCGCGGCGAGCAGCGACGCGCCCCGCCGGTGCTCGACGTGGACGCGCCGCGCGCGGCGCACCTCGACCATGGTCCCGCCTCCCCTAAAACCCAGGGCCGGGTCGCCCGGGCCCGGCCCGCCGCCGTCGCCGACCGTCGCGAGGTCGCCCAGGAGCGCCGCGGCGCGCGCCGCGGCGCGCCGGTCGTCGTCCGATTGCGCCGGCGCCTTGAGGCGGTCCACGCAGAGCTCGCAGCAGAGCACGCTCGACCGCTCCAGCGGCTCCGGCGGCCCGTGGAGGAGCGCGGAGAGCGCGCGGCCCGCGCGCGCCGCGCCCGCGTCGCCGGGGCCCGGCGCGTGGGCCGCGGCCGCCCAGCGCCAGAGCAGGGCCAGCCCGCCGTCGAGCGTCGCCTCGAGACTCGCCGGCTCGTCGGGCGACGCGACGGCGCGCAGGCGCACGGCCGCGACGGCCGCGAAGCGGCCCACGAGGTCCGCGCGGCGCGGCGTCGGACCGCCGTCCGAAAACGCGCGCCGGAGCGCGTCGCGCTGGCGCGCGACGAGGTCCGGCGGCAGGCGCGCGGCGAGGGCGACGAAGATGCGCCAGGAGCTCGGCGGCGCGACGGCGTCGCCGGAGGCAGACCGCCGGCCCGACGCGCCCCGGGACCTCCGGCGGCCGCCGGGCGACGCGCCCCACGCCCGCGCGCCGCGCGGCCGCGGCGCACCGTCGGCGACCTCCGGGCCGGCGTCGACGGCCTCGTCGTCGGCGTCGGCGATGGCGAGCGCCGCGAGGTCCTCGACGAGCTTCGGCGAAAAGGGCCCGCGCCGCGCGGCGACGGCGAGCACCGCGCCGCCCCGGTCGAGCGCGTCGCGGTCGCCCCGCGCGAGCTTCGTCACGGCGCCGGGCACGTCGCGCTTCGCGAGCCAGATGGACAGCGCCTGCTCGCCGAGCTCCCAGCGCGCGTCGCCGCGGCCGGACGCCCAGGGCGGCGGCGGCCGCGGCGGCGGCGCGCCGTCGGCGCCGGCGCCGAGCTGGAACGCGCCCGTCTCGTCGACGCCGCGCGCGACGGCGCCGAGGCCCTCGAGCCCCGCGAGGCGCTCCGCCGCCGGGCGCGCCGCGTCGGCGAAGGCCACGTAGGCCACGTCGACCTGGAGCCGCTCCGCGGACGCGCGGAGCGCGCGGTGCCGCGCGTCCAAGCCCGCGTCCGCCGGCTGGTCGCCCGCGGGCGCGCCGTTCCAATAAGAAGCCACGTGGGCCTTCCAGGACGTCGCCGGGCTCCGCCTCCGCCGGCCGTCGCCGTCGCCGAGCGACGCGAAGCTCGACTGCGACGCGGACCGGTCGCCCATCGTCGCCGGCGAGTCGAGCGACTCGTGGACGTCGCCGCCGAGGAACGCGTCGCGCGCGAGCGCGCCGACGACCAAACAGAGCTTCTCCCGCGCGCCCGCCAAAGCTTCGCCAAAGTCCCAGCGGCCGTCGGCCTCCGCGTAGCGCCGGTGGCGGTGCTGCGGCGCCTCGGCCGCGAGCGCTCGGATCCGCGCGTTCCCCGCGCGCTGCACCGCGCGCGCGACGACGCCGCCAAAGGCCGGCGGGATCGTCGGCGCCGCCTTGGCCGCGCCGACGTAGAACGCGCCGAGCAGGCGCCGGAGCACGAGCACGTCGAGGGGCCGCTTGCCCGCGGGCGAGAGCCGCGCGACGAGAGCGTCGACGCCGCCCGCGCGCGCGAAGTGATCTAGAAGCACGCCCGCGCCGCGGCCGTCGTCGCCGTCGGGGTCCGGCCGCGCCGCGAAGGAGGCGCCCGGCTGCTTCGACGCCTCCGCGAAGCGCAGGAGCGCCGCGCGGTCCGCGCCCAACGCGTCGTCGAGGCGGTCGCCGGGCCCCTCGCCCTCGCTCTCGCTGCCCTCGTCCAGGGGCCAGAGCGCCTTCGTCCGCCGCGCGCGGCCGCCCCGGAGCGGGTTCCGCGGCGTCGCCCCGCCGACGTCATCCAGTAAACCCCCGAGCAGCGGCTCGAGCGGCGGCGCCCACTCGTCCGGTTCGTCGGGTCGGAATCCGCGCTGAAGCGCCGCGCCGTCCGCGGCCGCGCCGAGGAGCGACCCCGCCGTCGACGCGTCCGACGACGACGACCGCGACCCGGCCTTGCCGCGCGCGGCCTTGGAGCCGCCGAAGCGGCCGAAGAAGGCCGCCTGCTTCGGCGCCGGCTGCCGGTCCGCGGTCCGCGCGGCCGCCGCGCCCGGCGGCGGCGCCGCGGACGGCGCGGGCGCGGGCCGCAGCTCCGCGCGGCGCGCGGCGACGCCCGCGCCCGTCGTCAGCGCCAGGGCGAGCATGCGCGTCGTCGCCGGGGCCAGGGGCCTGGACGCGTCCGCGAGGCGCCGCGCGAGCGCCTCGAGCGTCCGCCGCAGCAGGCGGTGCGCGCGCGCGCCGAGGGCGCCGTCGGCGTCGCGCCGCGCGGCTAACAGGAGCTTCTCGAGCGCGGGCTCGAAGCGCCCCTCCCACCAGGCCTCGTCGTCGCATTTCGCGGCCGAGAGCTCGCGGCGCACGAGCCTGGGCAGGAAAAGGGTGCGAAATTCCCAACTTCAAAGGCTCCTATCTCGGTCGTTTTCCGCTCGTTTCGGCTGATTTTTGGACGAGCGATCATCTCTCGGAGCGCTCTCGAAGCGTGGGTGCTGTTTCCGGAACGCGCGCGCGCGGAACACTCACGTTGAAGCGACGTTGAATCACCCTTTTGCTGCCCTGGCACGAGCTCGTCCTCGAGCTCCGCGGCCTCGCGCGCCGCGGGCCCCGCGCCGCTCGCCGCCGCCGCGCGCGGCGCCGCGCCGGGCGCGTCGGCCTCGGCGTCGCCGACGCGGGCCACGCGCAGCGCCGCGCCGGAGCCGAGCCGCACGCGCTCGCGGCCGTCGGAGCCGTCGCCCGCCTCGAGCTCGCCGACGAGCTCCGACACCGCGCGGCCCGCGCCGCGGCTGAACACGAGGCGCTCGCTCCCGACGCCCACGCCGAACTCGTCGCTCGCCTCGCCGGGCGACGCGCCGTCGCCGACGAGGCGCACGCCCGTGACCGCGCCGCCGCCGGCTTCGCCGCGCTTCGTCCACAAAAAGACGGCCGTCGCGGACACCGCGCCCGCGCGCGACACGGAGCCGCCGAGGGACGTCGACACGCGCGTCAGGTCGAAGGGACCGCCGGACGCCGTCGTCACGCGCCGGTAGCCCGCGGGACCCAGCGTGTTTCCGAGGGTCGTCACCACATCTATGATTGCCGTGGCCATCGTGCGCGTCTCGTTTCGGTCTCTGGTGGCGTGGTCGGTCGTGGCGCGTCGCGCACCTCTCTCCGCGGTGGACGCGCCAACTGCCTGGTCCGACGCCTCCGGCAACGCGGCCGGTGCCGGCGGCGCCGCGCGCGAGGAAGATGCGCTCGAGCCGGCCCTGATTTCCAGTGGCAATCTCAGAGTAATTCGATGCGGTTCAAGAGCGCTTGGTTTACCCGCCGAAGCTAGCACTATCGGACTCAACAAGATGCCAGGACTATCTCGGACTCAACAAAACTCCCGTTACTCGAGCTCCGCGGCCTTTCGCCGCGCGGCGTCGAGGAACATGCCGAGGGACCAGTCGCAGGTGACGGGCGGCGCGCCGTAGGTCCGGGAGAAGTAGACGCGCGCGCCGTCGGGCAGCAGGCGGTCGGCGATCCGCACCGCGCGCGCGGCCGCGTAGAGCGTCGCCCGGCGCAGCGTCGCGTCGTCGAGGCCGTAGGGGTTCGGGAGGGTCTCCGCGCGCGACCGCCACGCCGGCCCGTCGCTCGTCGCGTCGCGGACGAGCTCTTCTATTTTGCCGATCGCTTTCGCCTTCTTCTTGAAGGTCCCCGCGACGCCGGCCGTCGCCGCCGCCGTCGCGTGCATGCTGAGGCCCAGGGCGACCTCGGCCCGCGCGAGCGCCGCTTCGAGGGGCGTGCCCGCGATCTTCTTCTCGATCTCCGCGTCGACGAGGTTTCGCCAATTGGCCAGCTCGGCCTCGTCGCCCGTCTCCGCGGCCCGTTTCTGCGCCGCGAAGAGGTCCAGGTCCAGGCTGGCCACCTCGTCGCCCGCCGTGACCTGCGCGCTCAGGCCGCCGCCGCTCAGCGTCGCGAGCGTCGTCGCGTCGTCGACGCCGACGAGCGAGGCCGCGTAGACGCCCGCGGCGTGCTCCAGATCCGCCTCGTCGTCGCCGGACAGCACCTCCAGCGTCGCGACGGTCGCGAAGCGCGCCTTGATCGCGGCGAAGAAGTCGTTGACGAGCCGCGACGTGAGCGCGCCGGACGCGAACGCCGCGCGCGCGCCGCCCGTCAGGCCGACGCTGAGCGAGAAGTCGCCGGGGCCGACGGCGGCGGAGACCTCGTCGAGGTAGCCGTCGTACGCATAGGGCGTCGCGGCGACGGCGGCGACGTCGGCCTTGAAGCGCGCGCCGCCGGGCAGCTCGCGGACCGAGCCGGCGGCGCAGCCCGTGTCGACGAGCGCGCACTCGTAGAGCGACACGGCCGTCTTGCCGCTGCCGCCGTCGACGACGGCGCCGCGGTAGGCCGGGCCCTTGGGCGCGTCCGGGTAGGCGCCGTCGTCGTCGAAGACGGCGCCGTGGTTCGGCGTCTTGGCGCTCTCGCTCAGGAGGTAGAGCGAGAAGATGAGCACGAGGATCGTCGCGGCTTGCATGGTGGCATTGGGCCAGATTGATGCTGGCGGGGGCGTCGCGTTGTACTCGAGGAGCTTCTTTTTGTCGGCCATGGCTTGTGGCTGTTGGCGGCGGCGCGCGCGCACTTGCAGGCGTGGACCTCGATGGCTGCCCCGATTTTGTTGAGCCTCAACATGAGGCCTGCGAGCAGCGAGGTTGAAGCCCAAAAAGGACGCCGCCAGCGTCATCGTCGCAAATCGAGGCTCCGCCAGCGTCATCGACGCAAATCGAGGCACCGCCAGCGTCATCGACGCTGCGGCAGCAGCGCGAGCACAATGAGCAAACGCATTTATGCACTTCTAATCCTCGCCGCCACTGGCGACGCGCTCGCGCTGCCACGACGCCGCTTCGTCGCCGCCTGCGCGACGGCCGCGCTGCCCCCCCAGACCGCTCTCGCCAAGGATCTGTACTACACAAAGGAGGACTACTGCAAAAAAAGCGACTCCGAGACGAAGAACGGGATCGAGTTCGGATGCGAGGCCTACGTCCAGGACCCGGCGAAGCGGCTCAAGATGCGGCGGCGCGCGCTCGCGGCGCTGCGGCGCGCGAGCGAGCGGCTCGATCGCCTCGAGAACGTCGAGATGTCCGTCGCGGGCGGCGCGCGCGTGCGGGAGACGCTGCGCAAGGACCCGCTCGACGGGCTCCGGGCCCAGGGCAAGCGCCTGTCGACGCTGTCGGACGTGTCGGAGGTCGGCCTCGCGTACGACGAGACGATCAAGGCCGTCGAGGCCCTCGACCTCAAGGCGCGGCGCCTCGAGCTCGACGACGGCGCCGCGGCGCGCGACGAGGCCGCGGCGGTGTTGCGGAAAGCGCAGGCCGCCCTGAGGCGGCTCGTGTCCGTCGGCTCCGAGCCGGACCTCCTCGAGCCCGCGGACGTCGCGCCGCCCGCGGGGGGCGCGTAATCCCCGGTGTCTACTAGTAGTCGCGGCTCCCTGACCCGTGGCTCGGATGACTATGTGGGCGTGGTTATAATGAGCAGCGGGATGAGCAAAGCGGCGCGGTGCGCGCGCGCGCGTCGACCGCCGGGGTCGACGGGACGGCGGCGGCGTGCGCCGCGAGGGCGCAATCCGACGCGGCGTCTATGTGCACGAGAGAGCCCGGGGCTTCTAGCAGTTGAGCGACATCTCGCGCGCCTCGCGGACGAGGCTCCGCTCGGCCTGCGTGAGGCCCCAGACGGGCTCGTTTTTCACCTCGAGGCAGTCGATGACCTTGACGGTCGCCGGGCTCGTCATGAGCTTCTTGAGCGACGCCTTGCTCTCGATGGCCGCCTCGGAGACGGGGTCCGCCGCGGTGATCGTCTCCCGGAGCGCGTAGGCCTGGTCCATGATCTCGGCGAGGGACGCGACCTTCTCGGCGCTGGCCACGGCCGACGCGTTCCACTCCGTCTTGCGCTTCGTGCACCGCGCGCCGCCGCTCCCGTAGAAGCCGCCCTGGCCAACGGACGCCTGGCCGCCGCTGTAGGTGATGGAGTTGCTGTAGGCCACCGCGGCGCGCGGCGGCGCGCGCGCGCGCAGGAGCCGGATCGACGAGCGGGCGAGCATCGTGGTCGACGCCCCTGCCCGGTTTCTGTTCCGCGTGCGCTTGGACCGGCGACAAAACTTCTCGTCAGCTCGAGAAGCGGCTCTGATTGATTGGAGCCCAGGCGGTGTGCGCAAAACGGCCTCGAAAACCTGCCAATGCTTCGTTGCACCTTTGTTGCCGTCGAGGCAGTGGCGTTTTGCGACCTCCCCCACGTGCGCAACGTCCGCGCGGCCGCTGCCTCGTCGGCCGCACGCCTGTCCGTCGGAACTAGGTGCGGCAGGCAACCGCGGCCGCGGCGCGGTGCCAGTGGCGGCCGCCGCGGCGTCGAGCCCACGCGTGCAAGCAGGTGCGTCCTTACGAGGTGGTCCATTTCGACGACGGCGAGGAGCCTGCCGTCGACCGCAGTTTACTCGGCGGGCGACGAGGGGTCCGGAGTTGTCCGCTCGCGCGGACTGCAACATCAATGTTGCGTTGATGTTGTCGCCGACCTGAGCTCATCGACGATGTTCAGCCTCGCGCGCCTCGCGCGCCTCTGCGCGGTCCTGCTCACGACCCTCTCGTGCGCCCTCATCGCGCCCCGCGCCGCGACGACGCAGCAGCTCACGCGCGACACGCGACGATACAACCTGGCCAATTCGCGGGCAGAGGACATCAACAACTCGAGCATCATCCCGAAGATCGACGCGTGCCTGAACCTCGCCGACAACCGGCACGCGCGCCCGCGTCCGCCCGTCCCTCGCGCGGCGGCGACCGCGACCGCGGCCGCGCAGGTACGAGGCCGTCGTCGCGCTCGCGCGCAAGGCCAAGCAGCGCGCGCTCCTCGACCAGATGGGCGACGGCAACCTCGACGGCGTCAAGCCGCTCATCGCCCAGATGGACGAGGAGCTCGAGCAGTGGGAGGCGGACCCCGCGTACGGCGAGATGCGGGACCAGTCCTGGCCGGCGAAGATCGGCGTCGTCTTCGTCGACGAGGACAACGTCGACACGAAAATCGCGGCCGAGGCGCAGAAGTTCCCCGGCGAGGGCTAGGGCGCGCGGGGCTAAGTCTTCCGCCGCGACGTCCCCCCAACGTGGATCGCGCTCGTTCCGTCGTTAACATATCCCGCCGGCGGGATATGTTAAAAGGAGGCGCCGCCGCCGCCGCCGGAGCCCGCGGCCGTGGCGCCGCCGCCGCCGCCGCGCGAGGCCCAGGAGCTCGTCGAGGGTCTCTACCCGTCGGCGGGGTCGCTCGCGCTCTCGCCGAGCGACCTCCTGCTCCCGTCCGAGGACCTGAGCGCGTCGCAGCTCGAGATGCTCCACGACATCCTCGACTCGTGCACGCGGCGCGTCATCGACTGCCGCATCGCGTTCGCCGCGCGGAAGTGCGCGAGCGACCTGCCGCTGTAACTCGTGTTTGTGGGGAACTAGGGATTTATGACAGCGCGACTTCGAGACAGATGGGCTTGTGGTCGCTCCAATTCTCATAGACTTGAGTTTTGAACGCCGCCTTCACAGCCTGTGCGATCGACCCCTTGCCGTCGCCCAGCAGAACATCCTTGGCGCCGCTCCCAAGCTCGCTGCTGGCCTTAATCTGGTCGTAGACCCCCTTGAAAACATCCAACATTTGTTTTCGTTCCTCGACTGCGTTTTGCGCATCCTCGGACTCCAACACCACGCCGCTCGAGAAGCCCGCGGCGACACCTGACCGCCACAGCCATGCCGAATCGTAAATCTTCCCTCCGACGTCGACAAAGTCAGACTGATTCGTTGATTCGCCGTCGCGGCTGCCAATGTTTTGAAATCCAAGACGTGTCAACTTCTCGAACGCGTCATGCGTCGGGGCAAGATTAAAGTCGCCGAGGACCAGTACAGCGTCCCCAGATTGCAGCGAAGCCTGGACCTTCGGAACAATTATCTCAGACAAGGTGCGGAGGTCCCGCTTGGTGTCGTCTTTGCCGCCGGATTTGAGGTGGCAGGACAGCAGCGCGAGCCGTTTCACGGGCTCGGCTTTGGATGTCGGCACAGTCTGCAGAATCGTGAGCCCGATAGCACGCCGTAGCTCGTCGTCTTCGAGTGCCCTCGGGTTATCGCTCGAGGCCTCCAGCTGCCAGATTTGCGGGTCCCAGGCCACCACGTGCGTCTCGCCTTTGCTCGTTTTTCCCAGCCCGCGGCATTCGATCGGCCGCACGTCGAAACAGTCGAGTTCGCGAGCCAGCAAGACGTCAAAAGTCTCGGGACCCGCGGTCTCCGCGAGACGGCCGTGCGGACACTCCTGGATGCAGATAATGGAGACGCGAGATTCGCGGCGCACGGCGGCCGCGAGGTTCGCCGTCTTTTTGGCGAGGACTGCGGGCGTCAGGCCATGGGTTCCCAGGCTGGCCCTCGCGTTCCACGAGACGACCTTGAACTTACCATCGGATGGCTGGAGCAGACCCTCGATCTCGCGCACCAGGTTTTCGGACAACGTCTCCTTCAAGTTGAGAGTCAGCCGTGTCGCTTTGGAGATCTCTTCGACGAGCTTGTGCGCCGGTGTTTTCTTCGTGTCATTCTCCGGGAACACCGCATCACAGATTTTGACATTGGGATCCTTGCTCGGGGACATCTCGCTCGCCTTTCTATCTCCCAGACCCTTAATGGCTTTGACCGGAGAGCTCGCGGTCAGGGGCCGCTCCGTAGGGCTTTTGTGATTGACCGTCAATTGTTCGCGCTTCTCTCCCGACAATGCTACCACCGTTCTCCCTTCAGACAATACTGCTGACACATCTTCCATCACGAGCTTGAACCGGGACAGGCGCTCGAGCTCGAAAACGTTCTCATACTCTTTGCGGTGATACAGCTCCCAGGCGAACTCGATCATGCCGCGCTCGTTCTTTGCGTCCAAAAAGAGCGCAGCGCGGCAGCAAGCCAGGATCCTTGAATTGGGAATCTGCTTAACCTTGCGCTGACTCACGCCAGATGCGACGATCCGGGCGAGGAGCACGAGGTACGTGGCGACGCCCTTCTCGACGCCCTCGTTCGATGCGGTCGGCGCGGAGGCCGCGGACAGCATGGCGCAGACGCCAGAGGCACGAAGCGCGTCGACAATCTTCGCACGTGTGTCCGGCGACGTCAAGGTTGAGTCCGCACAGTTGACATCGATGTCGAAGACGGGCGGTGTAGCGGCCTTAGCCGGCGAGGCGCTCTTGTCGTTCTCCGACTCCAACTCGCCGTCGAGCGGAGGCTCCGCGGAGGAAGGCATGATCGAAGAGAGGTGGCGTGATCGCGGTGAGAGTTTGGAAATGTAGAGCTGCGATGCCGCTGAGCGATAGGCGATTTTGTCCCCTCACGGCGTGGTTGCCCGACAATCCGAGCATTGGCTGTGGCGAAGATGGCGAAGGCGCTCCTTGGGTGTGCGCGCCATCGGACTCGCCATGGATGCGTAAAACACGGCCGGTATACTCTAAACTGCGATACTGCGCCTTACACGAACACGTTCGTCGCGTCCGACGGCCGCTCGGCGACGGACTCCGCGCGGCCGAAGCCCGTGTACGCGTCCGTTCCCATTTGTGGATCGCCCTCGTTCAAGTTCCACGTCTCGTTCCTTACTCAGTAGGTGATCATCTGGGGCACCTCGACGCCGTGCTCGCGGATGATGTCCGCGAGCTCGAGGTAGGACCGCGGGCCGTAGGACACGACGTCGTCGTCGGGCGCCTTGGCGAGCCATCGCGCGTCGACGAGCGACTTGGCGAACTCCGCGAACTGCGGGTTCGTGAGCTTGCCCTTGTCGTCGCGGAGGACGTCGATGGGCACCTCGTGGTCCTCGCCGGCGGCGATGCGCGCGAGCATCTTCGTGAAGAGCTTGACCTCGTCGGGCGTGAGGCGGCCGCCCTCGACCTTGGCGACGTCGTCGCTCACGAGGTTGATGAGCGCGAGCACCTTCTCGTCGTGCGCGTCGCCCTGGTCGTCCTTGACCTTCTTGCCCGTGTAGTAGCCGCGCACCTCGAGGTCCATCTTCTTCAGCTCCTTGTTGATGTCCGCGAGCGCCATGCGGAGGCTCTGGCCGCGTCCGGGCAGCACGTCCGTCGCGATCTCGTCGATGACCTTGCCCGCCTCGTCCTCGGTCATGACCTTGCGTTGCTGCGCGGGGGCGAGGGCGTGCGCGCGCGCGCGCCGTTTCCGCGTCGCGCGCGGCGCCGGGCGGGTCGCGCGCGCGGCGCGCCGCGGTTCGAACCCCGCCGGGCGTCCCGGGCGCACCCCCCGGAAGCGGCGCAGCGCTCGTCGCGCGCGCGCATCGAGGACGCGGGCGGCGCACCGTCAACGCCTGGAGGAACAACTGCTGGCGTTGATCGAGGCCCATCTTTTGCTCGTGTTTTGAAGGCGCAGACCGCGCCCGACGAGGAGCGCTCGTGAGCCAAAGCTGCCGTGCAAGCAACCAAAGGTGGCGCGCGCGTCGAAGGTGGGTGGGGAGCCCCGACGTGCGGTGGGGGGCGCCCCGGCAACGATGGCGTGACATGGCCGACGAGAAGTTCGACGACGACGGGTGCAGCAGCTCGACGATGCGGCGCGACGAGGGCGCCCTGGCCGAGGCCCAGAGCCCCCACCTCCTCGAGGAGGCGCTCCTGGGCGACAGCGACCCCGAGGACGGCGGGCGGTCGGCGGAAGCCCGGGAGGCGCGGCGCAACGCGGCGGAGAAGATCACGCTGCTGCGCAACACCTGCGAGTGGGGCCTGGGCGTCGTGCGGCTCCTCATGGGCTACCTGCTCTGCGTCTCCGCGTCCGTGGCCTGCGCGACGGGCGCGTGCGAGTGGATCATCGTCGAGTCGCGGCGGGGCAGCCTCGAGGTCGACTGGTGGAAGTGCCTCTGCGACGACGGCCTCGTCGCCCACTGGGTCGACAGCCAGCAAAAGCAGAAAATCCCCGGCGTCCTCGCGGCGACGATGGTCCAGAGCGCGATCTTAGCCTGGGTCGCGCTCGTGCTCACGCAGCGCGCGTGCATCCGCATGGACTGGATCTCGTCGGCTATTGTGAATGTCTCCTTCACGACGCTCCTCATCGCGCTGCCGCCCTTCACGGCCGCGTGGCCCGCGCCGACGGCCATCGCGTCCTCGCTCGTGAGCTTATGCGCGTGGACGTTCCGCGCGCGGCCCTTCGGCGCCGTCGCCGAGCCCAACGACTGCGGCAAAGCCCACGCCTTCATGGTCCTCTGCGTGGGGCTCACGGCCGCGACGCTGCTCTGCAACGTCGGCGCGCTCGCGTTCCTATTGAAGGCCGAGTGCCGGCGGCGCGCGGCCGTCGAGGCCGAGGACGCGGCCCTGGCCCTCGAGGGCGAGGCCGAGGCCCCGGCGCCCCGGCGGCGGCGCCGCGGCTCGTCGAGCGACGAGTCCATCGACGCGCCCGCGCCGCTCGACCGCCTCTCCGCGGGCTCGGCGAACCCGCTCCGCCTGCCGTCGGGCCTGACGCCGTCGCCGGCGAAGAAGGGCGCCGGCGGCGGCGGCCCGCGGCGCCCGCCGGGCCGCCTCGAGCACCGGCTCTACTGCTGCGTCGCCGCGCCGCGGACGATCACGCTCGGTTCCGTCGTCGTCGCCGCGTACGTCGCGGCCGCGGCGAGCCGCTGCGCGCTCTCCATCCTGAGCCAGCGGGCCTTCGACGCCGCCTTGTTCGGGTCGCGGAACGTGCTGGGCCTCGAGGTGCCGGGCACCGCGGCCTACGTCGCCGCGGCGCCGGGCATGGCCATCGGCGCGGGCGCGGCGTTCACGTCGTTCTCGTCGCTGCTGCGGGGCTTCGCGGCGGAGGACCTGGCGAATTTTAGGATCGCCTTCCTCCTCGGCGCGCTGGCGCTCTTCGTGGACCTGCCGACGCTCGCGGCGACGGTCCACGGGGGCCTCCAGCACGATTTGTTCAAGGTCGACGCGTCGCGCTGCGTCGACGGCTACATGCTCGGCGACGCCCACGACGTCTACGGGTACCCGACGCGGGGCAAGGCGAAGAAGCTCTGCGCGGCGCTCTACGTCGACCTCTGGGCCACGGTGGTCCACGTCGTCGCGGTCTTCTTCATGACCGTGTCGGCCGCGCGGACGTTCACGTACAACAACCGCCCGCTGGCGGCGGCCGTCGAGCCGCCGCCGGGCGCGCTCGAGGCCGCGCCGGAGCCCCGGCGCGCCATGCACCTCCTCCACACGGCCGACGAGTGCACCTTCGAGTACGACGTCCGCTGGCCGAGCCCGCGGCCCCTGCCCGGCGCGCAGCTCCGCGGCTCGGCGACGGCGCCGGACGCGCGCTACTCGGCGCTGGTGATCCGCCCGCGCGACTCGGCCGTGGCCACGGAGCGCGCGCGGCGCACGGGGCGCCACACGCTCCACGACCCGGCGGTGCTCCGCCGCTCCGCGTCCGGCTAGGGACACGCTCTTAAGGCTCGCCCTGGTCCGCGCCGAGCTTCTTCGACCCCCAGTAGACGGTCGCGAAAAAACAGACGACGGCGACGGCGACGAAGAGGCCGAAGCGCGAGCCGCCGGAGCTCGTCGCGTGCTCGAGCGCCGCCATCGTCCGCGCCAGCGCGCTCCCCGCGCCGCCCATGCCCGCGCCCATGGTCTCGAGGAACGAGTTCTGCGACTTGACCTCCTCGTCGACTGCGGCGGGGGGCGAGGTTTTCGTCGCGCGGGGCTGTCGCGCGCGCGCGCGCGCGCGGGCGCACGCACTCTCCATGGTGAGCCCCTTGAGCATGGCCACCTGCTCCGACAGGGCGTCGAGGTGCTCGTTGTTCTCGCGCAGGCCGAGCTCCGCGTCCATCTGGTTCGCCTTCTCGCGGCTCGACTGGCCGAACCATCCCGCGTTTCCTGCGCCGCGCTTGGCCATGCTCACGCGGTCTCGAGGTTCTTGAGGTCGTCGGTGCCTTTGCCACACGACAAGCGATGTGCTGTGGCAAAGTGCAATGAGGACTCGCGCGCAGTGTGTGATGGGCCGCCGCCAGTTGCAAAAAGCGCTCCTCATCTCACTCGTAGCAACGGTCACAGCCTTGCGCGCTCCAACACCAGCGCTGCGCTCCACACACGGCCGCCGCTACGCCGCCAACGTCTGGGACGACCTGCCCGAGCCCTGCCGCCAGGCGCTCGACGCGCGCGGCCTCGCGGCCCCGCTCCCCGTGCAGACGCGGTCCTACGCGCCCGTCTTCGAGGGCCTGGACGCCGTCGTGCAGTCGCCGACGGCCACGGGCAAGACGCTGGCCTACGTCGCGCCGCTCGTCGCGCGGCTCGCGTCCGCGGAGCGGCCGCCGCGCGCGGGCCGCGGGCCCGCGGCGCCGCGCGTGCTGGTCCTCGCGCCGTCGCGGGAGCTCGCGACGCAGATCGGCGCCGAGTGGGCGAGCCTCTGCGGGCCCCTGGCGGCGGCCGCGCCGAGGGTCGCCGTCGTCGTCGGGGGCACGCCGCTCGAGCGGAGCGTCGGCGCGCTGCGCCGCGGCGGCGGCTGCGACGTGCTCGTGGGCACGGCGGGCCGGACCGCCGAGCTGCTGCGCCAGGGCCGCACGAAGAAGACGGCGCGGAGCGAGGTCGTCCTAGGATTGGACGCCGTCGAGACGATCATCCTCGACGAGGCGGACCAGATGCTCGACGAGGACGACGTGCCCGAGGTGCGGCGCTTCATGGACGCCATGGAGCGCGACTACCAGCTCGTGCTCTTCTCCGCGACGATCACGGACAAAGTCCGGAAGTTCGCGCGGGGGACCATGGAGCTCGAGCACGGGTCCGCGGACGTCGACCTGGCCGCGGCGCCGCGCGTCGACCACGCGTCCCTCGCGTGCGTCCGCGGCGAGTGGCACGACGTCGCGCTGGAGGTGCTGCGCGAGGGCGGCGACGCCCTGTCCCTCGTCTTCGTGCGGACCATCGCCGACGCGACGCACCTCCACGACCTGCTCTCGCGGAAGCTTCCGCGCGCGGTCTTCGACGTGCTGCTGCTCCACGGCGACATGAACCCCGAGTTCCGCAAGCGCGTCTTCCGCGCGGCGCGGCGCGGCGACGACACGGGCGGGCGGCGGGCCGTGCTCGTGGCGACGGACGTCGCCGCGCGCGGCCTGGACCTGCCGGGCGTCGGGCTCGTGGTCCAGCTCGGCGCGCCGCGAAAAGCGGGCAAGGAGGGCACGCTCGACGGGGACCTCTACGCGCACCGCGCGGGCCGCGGCGCGCGCGACGCCGCGGAGACCGCGACGTCGCTGCTCCTCTTCGACCCGTCCGCGGGCGAGCGGCCCCTGGTGAACGCGCTCGCCGACAACTTCCCGGGCCTGCTGCCGCCGCGGCCGCCGCCGCGGCCCGCGGCCGTGCTCGAGAACGCCCTCGGCGACGCCCTGAAGGCCTGCGCGGCGGCGCCGGCCACCGCGACGGACGCCGTCGCGGCGACGGTCGACGGCCTGAGCGACGACGAGCGCCGCGACGCGCTGGCCGCAGCTTTGGCGATCCTCGCGGGCGTCGACGATCGGCCGCCGGCGCCGAGGAGCCTGCTGACGTGCAAGCCGACGGACCGCACGCTGCGCTTCGAGAGCGCCGCGGGCGGCCTCGACCCGAAGGCCGTCATGGCCGCCTGCAAGGCCCTCGGCTCGGGCAAGCTGGGCGTCGTGCGCGTCGTCGACGACGGCGCCGCGGCGCTCGTCGACGTCCCCGCGAAGAAGGTCGCCGCGCTCGTCGCCGCCGCGGACGGCGGCCTCCCCGACGGCTGGGCCATGTCGCTCCCCGAGTCCTAACCGTCATTCGCGCTCCGTTACGGGAGCTTCGCCCCGGTTCGTCGCCGCGACGAGTCGGGCGACGAGCGCGACGTCGCCGCCCGCCGCGAGTCGCCGCGCGTAGCCGAGCGGCACGACGACGCCGCAGAGCGAAAACTCGAGGCGCACGTGCGGCGCGCAGGCGGCCCGGCAGCGCTCGAAGTAGCGCGCGGCCGCGGGCACCTCCCCCGGCCCCTCGACGAGGAATTCGACGAGCTCCGAGTCGGCCGCGCGCCGCCGGAACCCCGCCGCGGGCGCGTCTCCCTCCCGCGTAAACGCCACGTGGCAGTTCCGCCGCGCGCCGGGCCGCGCCGGGTAGCCGAGCGCGCGGCCGACGAGGCCCATGAGCAGCGGCGCGTCCCCGGGCGGGGGCGCCGCCGCGCGCGGAAAGAAGGCGTGCGAGACGTGCCTCGACCGCGGCGACGCGGCGTCGTAGAGGACGAGGCCGCCGACGAAGTTGACGCCGGCGCACGGCGCGCAGTCGCGGGCCACGCGCGCGCGGCGGAGCCGCGGCGCGGCGGCCGCGGCCCAGGGCGCGACGAGCCCGCGCTCGACGTCGTCGGCGAAGCCGGGCCTCGCGCCGTAGGCGAAGAGGACGCAGGGCTTGAGCCCCAGGAGCACGAGGAGCACCTCGCCGCGGCAGTCCGCGTTGCACGGCGCCATGCCCAGCCCGTCTCTCACGACCGGCGCCAGGCCGGCGAAGAAGGATTCGGACATCTCCACGTAGGCGCGCCACGCCGCGGCGGCGCACGGATCCGCGCCGCTGTCGACAAACTCGTCGTCGTCGCTGCCGAGCAGCGCGACCGCGCGGTCGCGCCAAGAATCGTCCTCGATCAGGGCAGCCATTGCCGTCTCAATGAGCAGCCCTCTCCATCACCAAGAGTTCACCAAGCCCGTATTTCCTTCTTTTTTGATGCTCTGTAAATTGGCTGGACAGCAACGCTCCACGAGGCAATGGTTCGGCTCTGGCTGCTCGGCGCAGCCCTAGCGGCGATCGCAAAGGGCGACGAGTTCGGCTGGGACGACCTCGACCTCGTGGACGTCGACGAGGATGGCGGCCCGGCCATCACCCACGACGACGTCATGCGCGCCGCGGAGTCGAAGGAGCGCTACGTGCACAGCTTCGCCTTCGAGGACCTGCCCGCCTGGGACGGCGCCCTCGCCGAGCTCGTGCTCGAGAACCCGCACGTGCGGGCCTTCGCGCTCTACTTCTACAAGCCGGGCTGCGAGCACTGCGCCAAGTACAGCCCCATCTTCGGCGCGGCCGCGACGGCGTTCGGCGAGCGCTATCCCGACGCGGACGTCAAGTTCGTGGGCCTCAACTGCGAGGAGAGCGGCTTCGAGCAGGTCGGCGAGATGTACGAGATCGTCGAGTTCCCGACGATCGTCCTCATCGAGGACGTCTACAGCGAGCCCTTCAAGTACTGGGGCGGCTGGCGGGAGTCGTCGGAGCTCGTGGACTACGTCGCGGCCTTCGCGGACCTCGCGGCCTGCGGCCCGCCGCCGGCGCTCGCCGCGACCATCGGCGGCGACGACGAGCGCGTCGCCATCACGCTCGGCGCGGGCCTGTCGGCGAACGAGCGCGCGCTCGCGCGCGTCGAGGCCGACCGCGCCGCGGACCGCTACGGCGTCGAGCGCCGCACGGCCGTCTACTGCAGCAATGCCGTGACGGGCATCGTCGTCGAGCGCGCGGGCTTCGCGGGCGAGCCGGCGACCGTGGTCGTCGCGCCGCCCGCGGACGTCGACGCGGCCGCGACGTTGAAGACGCAGGCCATGTTCCGCGAGCGGCTCCGCCGCGCCGTCGTGCCGCGCGTCACGGAGATCCGCGACGCGGGCGACTACCGCCGCCTCTTCCGGGACGTCGAGGCGTTGAGCGTCGTCATCCTGCGGCCCAACGCGACGCGCGCGAACGCGAAGAAAGCCGTCGACGCCGCGCGCAAGCTCGCGCCGACCGCGCCCGAGGACGCGCTCATGCGCTTCGTCTACTGCCGCCTCGAGGACCCCGAGTTGGACCCCAAGGCGAACTACCTCTGCGACGAGATGGCCCAGTACACGTTCCCGCGGTTCAACACGTCCGGCGGCGCGGGTCTCGTCGTCATGGACGTCGGCCGGCGGCCCGAGCCGCCCGTGTCCTGCAAGACCAAGGCGGACAACGGCGGCGTCGTTCAGACCGACGACGACGGCCTCACGCCCCACATGAAGATGATCCTCAGGGCCAAGGAGGACCGGCGCAAGGGATTGGTCCGAAAGTACGGCACGCTCCGCAAGTTCGCGCTCGGCCGGTCCTTCACGCGCAAGGCCGGCGCGGAGTTCCTCGACGCCCACTTCCGCGACGAGCTCAAGGAGGCGACGCTCAGCGACAAGATCCCCGACGCGCACCTCAACGTCGGCCCGCTCTTCTACCTCGTGGGCGACACGTTCGACGACTTCGTCGCCACGGACGACGATTTGGTCGTCTACCTCGTCCAGAAGGACTGCCTCTCCTGCCACCAGCTCTGGCCCCACGTCGACGGCGTCGCCCACCTCTTCGAGCACGAGCCGCGCGTCAAGTTCGGCGCCATCGACAACCGCGCGAACGACGTCGCCGCGCCGCCCTTCTCCCAGGTGAACACGACGCCCGCGATCCTCTTCCTCCCCGGCGGCGCCGAGCCCGACGACGCCATCACCATCGACTACAAGATGAGCACGGACGCCCAGGGCGAGGAGCGCGCGATCCTCGACGTCAAGCGCATGGTCAGGACCATCCTCGAGCGCGCGACGCACCCCTTCGCGGAGAAGGACGACCTCTGGGAGGAGATGGAGGCCATGGCGTCCATGGGCTAACGGTCTCGCGTCCGGGGGGTGGTGCCCGGGCCGTTCGCCGCGCGCCGGAGCGTCGTCGCGGGGATCACCAAACACCCCCTTGGTTACCCGCCGCCGTCGCCCCCGCGCGGGGACATGCGGAAGCCGAGGGCGAGGGCCTCCTTCTCGAGCTGCGCGCGGATCGCGGCGTCGCTGCGCTTCGCGCGCGCGTCGGCCTTGGCGCGCGCGGCGACGCGAATCTCCTCCTCGCCCGCTTCGAATTCCGCGCGGAGCTCGAGCGCGGCGCTCGCCGCGTCCTCGTAGTCGCGGCAGAGGCGGTCCATCTCGCGCTTGAGCGCCGCGCGGCGCGCCTCGCAGTCGGCCTCGCGCCGCTCGAGCTCGAGGCGGAGCGCGGCGACGTCGCGCTCCGCGGCCTCGCCGTCGGCGACGCGGTCCGCCTCGAGGCTCCGCGCCGCGGCGTCGCGGAGCTCGCGCTCGCGCCGCTGGAGCAGGAGCGCCGCGCGCTGGCGCTTGACGGCCTGCATCTGCTTCTCGAGGACCTTCCGGTGCTGCTCGAGGTGCTCCTCCTTGGCGTCGAGGTCGTCGTCGTCGGGCGGCCGGCGGCGTCCGCGCGGGCGCCTCGGGCTCGAGGCTCGCGAAGCGGCGGCGGCGGCGGCGCGGGCGCGGGCGCGGGCGGCGGCGGCGGCGGCCGCGCGGCGGCGGCGGGCCGCGCCTTGGGGCTCTCGCGCCGGCGCCGGGCGTCGGCCTTGCCCCGCGCGGCGGGCGGCACGACGGGCAGCGGCGCGGCGGGCGCCGCGGCCGGCGCCGCGGCGCCCTCGAGGCCCTGCTCGAGCCGGACGCGCTCGATGAGCGCGCGCACCTCGCGCGTCGTCGCCGACTCGTCGAGGCCCTTGTCGCGCCGCTGGTCCCGGGGCGCCGCCGTCGCCTGGCGCCGCGCGGCGCTGCTCGCCGTCGCCTGGTTCGCGCCCTTGCGCGCCGACATGCGCGGCTTCGCCGCCAGCTTGCGCTCCTTGGCCGCCGGCGCCGCGCCGCCCCGGCCGCGGCCCGCGGACGGAGGCTTCTTCGACGCCTGCATGATCGAGGCTGCCCTAAACCATCGGGCAAGCTTCAAGGATGCATGGTGAAGCGAAATTGCCACGGCTAAGACAGGGATTGGCTGAGCTCTCCAACACGTCGCAGCTATGGCGGCGGCTGCGAAGGACGAGAGCGGCGCGCCGAGCTGGCTCAACTCGGTCTTCGGCATGATGTGCCCCGCGACGAACCCGGAGCCGGAGAAGCCCAAGGACCCGCCGTCGCTCATGGACCCGGAGCACGGCTACGCCTACCGCATGGTCCACGGCGTCTGCTACCCGCCCTTCGCGTCGGAGGCGGCCATCGACCGGCTCATGGGCGAGGACTGGTCGCGGGAGGGCGACGTCCTCATCGCGACGTACCCCAAGTGCGGCACGACGTGGATGCAGCAGATGGTGCTCCTGCTGCTGGCCAAGGGCGACGCGTCCAAGGTCACGGACCCGATGGAGCAGTCGCCCTGGGTCGACCGCGAGTTCTCCATCGCGACGCGCCAGGCCAAGGGCGACGCGGCCAAAATCGACGCGGCCTTCGACAAGCTCGTCCGCGGCGACGGCGACGCGGCCTTCGGCGGCCGGCGGACGTTCAAGACGCACGCGCCCTACGCGCTCCTGCCCTGCGCGGGCCGCTTCTCCAAGGGCAAGATCATCGTCGTGACGCGCAACCCGAAGGACGCCTGCGCGTCCATGTACAAGCACTACCTGGGCCTGCCCGCGTTCAAGTACACGGGGCCCTGGGACCACTTCGTCGGCCTCTTCCTCGACGGCAACGTGGGCCAGGGCTCCTGGTTCGACCACGTCCTGGGCTGGCGGACGGCGAAGGACGACATCGGGGACCGCCTCCTCTTCCTGAGCTTCGAGGACATGAAGGCCGACGTCGAGACGTCCGTCAAGCGCATCGCGGCCTTTATAGACGTCGACGTCGACGACGAGCTCCTCGCCAAGGTCGTCGCCGCGTCGTCCTTCGACTCCATGAAGAAGGACCACGAGCGCCGCAAGTCCACGGGCGTCCAGCGCATGGGCTCGGCGACCCACTTCCGCTCCGGCGCGTCGGGCGGCTGGCGCGCGAACTTCACCGTCGCGCAGTCGGACGCGCTCGACGCGCAGTTCGAGGCGCGCATGGCCGGCACGGACATCGTCACGGACTTTGGCAAGGGCGACCGCTTCGTCGGCACCGTCAAGGCCGAGACCAACGGCCACTGAGCGGCCGCCGCCCGGCGATTTTGAGATTTTGGCCGCGCGCGCCGCGTAACGGCGGTCTGTTGGCAGTGTTACGCGAGCCCCGCGGACGGCCGGACGAGCGCGCGGATGCGGTGCTTGAAGTCGCGGAGGGACCGGCGCCGCGTGACGACGGCCTGCTCGTGCTGCGCGAAGACGACGGACGTGATCTCGCTGAACCAGAACATGGTGTAGGGCACGGCGACGAGCAGGTAGAGCGCGGAGACGACCCAGACGTGGAAGGCCTCGTGGCCGTCGCCCTGGCGGACGAAGAGCCCCGCGGACGTCGCGTTGCTGACGGAGTAGTAGAGGAGGTGCACGGGGCCCCGGTAGCCGCAGAGGTAGCCGACGTAGAGGCCCCAGGCGAGGATGCCCGCGTAGACCGCGCCGCCGACGGTGAGCACGGGGTTGGTCGCGGCCGCGACGCCCGCGTCCGCGGCGGCGGCGCGCCGCGCGCGCTCGGACGCGCCGTGGCAGTAGGCCCGGATGCCGCCGATGATGATGACCTGGCCGAAGACGCAGTGGGCGCACTCGTAGAACTTGCCCGGCGCGGACGTGGGGCGGTAGGGCGCGCTGCCGCAGCCGACGCCCGTGTTTACCGCGAAGTAGAACGCGTACGCGTACGACCAGCCGTCGCCGAGGCGGCGGAAGGCGAGGACGCCGGTGAGGAGCCAGGCGGCGAAGAGGGCCAGCAGGTCCAGGGCCTGGAGCTGCGCCGCTTTCAGCGACCGCCGCCAGCGCCGGAGCCTCGCGAGCGGCGACGGCTCTGGGGACCCGGGGAGCAGCGACTCGGCCTCCGGGCCCGCGGCGTCGCCGTCGTAGGCGAAGAGGGCCGTGGACACCTCGGAGAAGTAGAGCATGGCGTAGGGCACCCCCACCAGCATGAAGAACGCCGTCGCGAGCCAGTTGTCGCGCGTGTAGCGGCCGACCTTCAGGCCCGCGGTCGTCAGGTTCGTCAGCGAGAAGACGAGGCAGTCCGCGAGGGCGCCCATTTTGCCCGCCGCGCGGCCCACGACGAGGCCCCAGCCGACGACGACGGCGTAGCCCAGGGACAGCAGCGACAGGTGGTGCCGCCGCGGCCCGGCGCCCGCGGCGCGCTCGAGCCGCGCGGCCGACGCCTGGAAGTACGCGCCCAGGCCGCCGACGATGAGGAGCTGGCCGGCGACGAGGTACGCGCACAGCACGAGCCGCGCCGCGGCGTGCGACGGCCGGAACGGCGCGGAGCCGATGCCGTAGCCGACGTTGATGCAGAAGTAGAAGCTGTACGCCCACGTGAATTGGCCACCGTGCGAGAACCGCCGGAAGAAGAAGACGCCGAAGACCAGCCAGCAGAAGAGCGTCGCGGCGACGTCGGCGAGCAGCACCGTCGACGGCTCCTGGGCGTCGCGCCAGCGCTGGACCTGCTTGCCCAGCGCCTCCAGGGGCGCGCACGACGCGTCCTTCGACGCGTCCTTGGCGTCGTCGAGCTTCGCGTAGCCGCCGTCGGGCGCCGCGACCTTGTTGGACATTGCCGCGAGGCAAGTGCGACAAGCTCGGAGGCTAGCCAAACTTTGGGTAGCCCATCAGCACGGTGGCCTGAGGGCAGCCCATCAGCACGGTGCCGCCTGATTTCTTCAACCTTATGTGATGTCACGGCATCATTGCCGTGTTGCCCTAGCAGTGCACAATGGCACTCGCCTGCAGTCGCGCCGGCATGTCTCGACTTGCGGTGCTGCTCCTGCTCCTGCTGCCAGCCGCGCAGGGGCTCGCGGCGCCGAAGAATCGAGTGCGAGGCAAGGCGCTCCTGCGCAAGCGCGGCGGGCTCCTGCAGCCGTCGGTCGTCGACGAGCAGGCACCAGCGCAGGCGCCGGTGCAGGCACCAGCGCCGCCGCCGGTCGCCGTCGTCGACGAAGCGGCGCGCGCGGCGCTCCGCGCCGCGACGAGCGTCGAGGTCCTCGGCGTCTCCGGCCGCAACACCGCGAGCTTGCTGCTGGACGGCCGAGAGGTCGCCTACGACACGACGACGCTCTGCCAGCGCGACGACGAGGCCGTCTGGCTCGAGGTGCGGCGGCACCTCGACCTGACGGCGAGCGAGTTCGACGCGGCGCGCGACCGCTACCGCTTCGCGTCGCGCGCCGACGTGCTCGCGCGCAAGGCGCGGCTGCCGTCGGCGCCGCCGCCGTTCCGCGGCAACGAGGCGACGCGCTTCGGCCTGAAGCACGAGCCCCGGGCCGTCGAGGACTACGCGCGCGCGACGGGCGCCGCGGTGTCGCCGACGGGCCTCTGGACGCTCGACGGCTTCGGCGCGTCGCCGGACGGTCTGGTCGTCGACGCCGCGGGCTCGCACGGGCTCCTCGAGGTGAAGACGTCCTTCGCGAAGCGGCACAAGGCGCACCACGGGCCCTTCACCAAGTGCCCGCGGAGATTCTACGCCCAGATCCAGGGCCAGCTCGCGGTCTGCGACCGCGAGTGGTGCGACCTCGTCTCCTGGATCCCGCGCAATTCGTCTCGGCCCAACTTCGCGGTGCTGCGCGTCCACCGCGACCGGGACTTCTGGGACGCGGAGCTGCGGCCGGAGCTCGACAGGTTCGCGGCGGACCTCGCCGCGCTGCGGAGGCTGCCGGCGGCCGCATAAAATTTTGAGCCCTCGTCTCGCGACCCCCGGCCCCTGCCCCGGCCACGGGCGCCTGCCACAAGCCCCGCGCGCGACCCCGGCCACGCGCGACTGCCACAAACACCGCGCGCTCAAAAACTGAGCATCGTGCTGCGCGGCCGCGGCGTCGACGCGCGCACCACGCCCACCGCATCGCACCTCGTGGGCGGCGCACCTCCTCTTCGAGCGACAACACGATGATGAGCGACAACACGAAGATCGGCACGAGCCTCCTCGGGCTCGGCCTCCTCTTCATCGCGCTCGGCGTCCTGCTCCTCTTCGACCGGTTCCTGCTGTCGCTCGGCAACGTCATGTTCCTCGCGGGCCTGCTCATGACCATGGGCGTGAGCCGGAGCGCGCGCTTCTTCCGGAAGAAGGCGCACGACTGCGGGCTCCGCGGCGTCGCGTGCTTCTTCGGAGGCGTCGCGCTCGTGCTCGTCTTCAAGCGGCCGCTCGTGGGCATGTTCCTCGAGGGCTTCGGCTTCGTGAACCTCTTCGGCAACTTCTTCCCCATCGCCCTCAGCGCCATGCGCACCATGCCCGTCATCGGCAACGTGCTCTCGATGCCGGGCGTGAGCTCCGTCGCCGACAAGCTCGCGGGCGTCGAGCAGCGACGAGCGCGGAACTGGGCGTAGGCGGGGTCCCGCCGCGAGGCCCCGGACGCCCTAAGCATCCGCCTTCGCTTCGACGCGGCCGGGTGGGGCCGCCTCCCGACGGGTCGCGGCGGCCCGGGCGGTCCTTCTTGGCAAGTCCGCTGGCCATGGGCCGAATTCCGAGTCGAAGAGGGCACTCGCGCAGGCGCCGTTCTATCCCGCGATCACGACTTACGGAGCCACCCCGACCTCAGTCCTCCTTCTTCGGCGCGTCCTCGAGCTCCTTGGCCCGCGCGTCCTCGACGGCCTTGTCGTAGGCCTCGGCCTTGAGCGACTGGTTGTAGAGGTTCAGCAGAGTCATGGGGATCTGGAAGCAGTACATCGTGCCCGTCTTCTCCTTGAGGACGACGGCCTCCTCGTGCGTGAGCCCGTCGCTGAGCGCGGCCTTTGCCGGCGCGAGCTCCTCGATGGCGAATTTGATGAGCACGACTGCGCGGGGCGCGCGCAAATTCAAGGAGCGCGCAAGAAAAAAAGGACGAGGGCCGCGCGCTTATGAGCGCCATCTGCACGAGGCCGCTCGCGCGCTCGCGCGTGACGCCGTAGCGGAGCACGCGGTAGATGTTCGAGGCCCAGGCCCAGAGCAGGAGCGGCAGGAAGATGGGGAAGATCTTCTGGATGTCGCTGATGATGGGCCTGCGGCGACGGCGTCGCGCGCGCGCGCGCGCCGGGGGCGCCGGCGGCCGCACACGGTGGGCATGTATTTGAAAAAGACCTCGGCGAACTCGAGGTGGCCGTTGTCCGCGGCGTCCTTGGCGACGGCGTGCTCCAGGAGGTTCATCGTCGCCATGAAGGTCGCCATCATCGTCGAGACGTACATGTCGAGGAGGTCCACGCGCGGCATCGCGCACGAGGGCTGCCCGAAGGACTGGCCCGACCAGAAGTCGTGCCACCTTGACGCGGGCTTGAGGCCTAAGTTGCAGTTCCATCGGTTACAGTTAGGCGGGGTCGGGGATTGCGCGTCCTCGGCGGCTCAGCGCGACATGCTCTGGGAGCGCATCGGCGGCGCGCGGCACTGGGCCTCCTCGACCTGCGCGGGGCGGCGTCCGTCCCCGGCGCCGCCATCGCGCGGGGGCGCCGCGGCCGCGCCGCGCGCGTGATCATGGCGGAGACCTTGTAGCCCTGGCCCTTCTTGACGAGGATGGGCCGCACGGGGTCGAGGCCCAGCTCGCCGTTGAGCTCGACGGAGATGACGTCCGCCGCGCAGCCGCAGTCGCAGACGCTGTTGATGTGGTAGTCCGAGACCTGCGCGCGGCGCGCGCGTCGCGCGCGCGGGCCGCCGCCTTCGCGGCGCGGGTGTCACGCACGCCGGCGATGGTCGAGAGGTCCACGGCCCGCGTCGCGCGCGACGTCTGGCAGAGGCCGGAGCAGTAGCCCTTGGACCGCTTCCGGTCCTCCGACGTGAGGTAGAGGATCGCGCCCGTCAGCTTGTAGTGGTCCGGGTCGTCGCAGCAGGGCACGCACATGAGCTGCTTGCAGAGCCAGTCCGTGCAGCCCCCCTCGTACATGATCTGGTCCGCCTCCCAGTGGACCTTGAAGCGGAGCCGGTTCTCGTTGCTCTTGTGCAGCGCCAGGCACTCCTTGGCGATCTTGACGCGGTGGCCGATGGTGGCCACGCCCAGCTCCTTGATGAGCTCCTCGCTGAGCATGTGCAGGATCTCCCCCGTGACCTGGTGCTTCGCGAACGCCGGCCCGTACTGGCCCAGGCCGATACTCCCGAGCCAGGTCCCCACCTCCTCGACGCCCCAGGACGTCGGGTCCACGTCTTCGTTGGTCTGGCCCATGGAGTACTCCCGGGCCATGCTGTGCTTCACGTCCATGGCCTCGTTGAACGCCATGGCTGCGCGCGGGCGGCCCGACGCAGTTTCTTCGGGGGCGGGGCTGCCTTTTATTTTGACTGGTCTCCCAAGGCACCTTGCCCAAAATCCATTGGATTTTATCTTCAAGATGCACGCGCGCGCAGATGTTCAAAGCGCGAAATTTGCGCGGGCTCGCTCTTAAGCTTGGGCTCGCCGTCGCCGGGGCGACGACCGGCGTCCCTGCCGCCAAGCGCCACCGGGAGCGTCGCGTGTGTGTCGCGCTGGTCGTTAGGACGAGTCGCGCGTATGAGCAAGGGAGCCGGCCCTGGGCGGCGCGCCTCTCGTGGCGCTCCCGCGATGCGGCTCCGCGGCGCGCGGCGGCCCGCCGCGGCGCGGTGTCCGCGCCGCGGCAGCGGGCCGCCGCCCCCTACATGTGGTGGCCCCGCTCCCAGCCGCTCGCCCGCGGCGGCTCGGGCTCGCACTTGGCGCAGTGCGCGTAGTCGGCGAGTTTCCCGTGGTTTCGGTAGTCCGCGACGATCTCCTCGTTGCGCATGGCGTCGGGGTAGGCGTCGCGCACGGCGTCCACGGTCTCCGGCGCGGCCTCGTAGAGCAGCGCCAGGCTCAGGGGCAGCCGGCCCATGAAGCCGCGCGTCGCGCAGGCGCCGGGGTTCGCCGCGATTAGGAGCGCGACGACGTCCGCGCGCGCCGAGCGCACGAGCGCGAAGTGGAGCGGCGCGTTGCCGTCGGCGTCGCGCACGCCGCAGGCGCCGGGCCAGGCGTCGACGAGCAGCCGCGCGGTCTCCGGCGCGCACTGGTGGCAGCACGCGTAGTGCAGGGGCGTCCGCCCGCCGACGAGCTCGCGCGCGGCGCCCGGGTGCGCGTCGAGCAGCAGCTTGACGACGGCGGGCTCCGCGCCGCAGGACACGGCGCCGAAGAGGGGCACGTTCCCGTCGAGGTCCCGCACCTTGGCCGCCGCGGGGTACGCCTCGAGGAGCGCGCGGACGATGGGCTCCGGCGCGCCGTTGCAGCACGTGAAGTGGAGGGCCGTGTTCCCCGTCGCGGCGTCGACCGACTCGCAGACGCCCGGGTCCCGCCGGATCGCGTCGAGCATCACGGCGGACTTGATGGGGCCCCCGCTCGTGAACATGGCGAGTAACGTGTTGGGCATCAAGGGCTCCGCGGGAAACCGCCCGCGTTCGTCGCGGCGCGGGTGTCCGCGCTGCCTCTCCGACGACGGCGGGTCCGACGGTGACGCGCGGCGGGGTCGTTGGGCGCCCGCGAATGTGGATGTCGGTCACGCGCCGATGGTGGAGGCGCCTCGCCCAGCGTGCCGCCTATTGAATGGCTGATCTGGTCGGAACACAACTTTGAAGCGGTTCAATTTCCTAAGTTGCGCGCGCCGTCGCCGCCCGCCGGTGCCAGCGACGCACGTGCGGCGCTGGTCAGCCAACGGCCTCCGCGTCGCCGCCGACGGCCGGCGCCGGCGACTCGGCCGCGCCGCCGTCCTCCGCGCCGTCGAGCCCGGGCGGCAGCGCCGCGTCGTCGCCGACCTCGTCCTCCGCCTCGTCCGCGCCGAGCGCCGGGCTCGTGTCCGTCCAGCCGCGCGCGGCGCAGAACTCGTCGTACTTCGGGCGGAGCCAGTTCTCGTAGAAGGCCGCGTCCGCGGCGATGGCGTCGCGGTGCTTGCCCTCGTCGTGCGCGGAGATGTAGCGCGACTGGCGGCGCCAGAGCCAGAGGAAGATGCCCACGAGCTTCTTCAGGAAGAAGTCGAGGATGGACCGCGGCAGGCGCGTCCGCAGGTCGACGGACACGACGACCATGGCGTGCTGGCTCGTCGCCGACGTGAACGCGACCTTGGCGACGAGCGAGTGGACGTGCATGCGGTCGTAGCCCCAGCCCGTGTAGCGCGGCGGCACCGCCGCGCCGCGCCACGCCGCCACGTCGTCGGCCAGGGACTCGCCCTCGAAGTAGAGCGCGCCGCTGGAAAGCGCGTCGTTGCACGCGGCGACGCGCATGACGCAGTCGCGGCTCAGCACGCCCCGGACGCCGATGGAGAAGTGGGCCAGGAGCCGCGAGAAGTCGAGCTCGTGGACGACGTCCGAGTGCCGCAGGAACGGGATCCACTCGCCGAAGAGGCCGATCTCGCGGATCACGGCGACGGTGTGGAAGAGGTCGATGTCCTTCATCTCGCCCGTCGTTCGCAGCCAGAGCAGCCCGTCCGCGTCGTAGCGGTAGCTCGTCTCGACGCCGAAGGCGCGGTGGCCCTCGGACCACGCCTCCTCCGCCGGCGCCGCGCCGTCCGCGGTCGCCGCGCCGTCCGCGGTCGCCGCGGCGGCGGCGGGCACGGCGCCGTCCGCGGTCGCCGCGCCGTCCGCGGTCGCCGCGCCGTCGGCGTCCGCGGAGCAGAACGCGCGCGCGCGCCGAAAACTCGCGCCGCGCGCGCGGACCTCTTCGACGAGGTCCACGTCCTCCGCGGTCTCCGGCGCTGGGCTTTCGAGCGTGTCCAGCGCGTCGAAGGCGTCGAGCCAGCGCGCGTCCGCCGCAAGGCTACGCACGTCGCAGAGGTCGTCTTTCGACGTGTTTGTTGGTTCCTGGGTCCCTAATGCATCGAGCTTGATGGTCGTGGCATCGATGGCGTCCTCGGCCATTGCAGAGTGGACTGGAGAAGCCTTAGAAAGTGCTGCCCATCGCACTCGCACGAGATCCAAGACGACGGCACCAAGGTCACCAAGGCTGCACCTTCGAGGATTTCGAGGAAGCCCGGCGCAATGTTCCTCGCCGCAGCGCGCCTACCAGCGCGGCTGCGTGCGCGTGCACGCGCGAAAGCGGCGTCGTACAACTCCCTGAACGGCACAAGGAAACACGCGCGCGCATCGCTGGGCGCGTCCTTTGCTCTTGGCGCCGTGCGCACCCTCAGGCAGCGCGGCGGTCCACCGCCGCCCGCGCCGCCCGGGCGCAAGGCGCCGCCGCCGCCGCGCGACCCCTGGCAGGAGGTCCCGGACCCGAACGGCTCGCGACTGACGTACTGGTGGAATCCCGAGACGGGCGCGACGACGCGGCTCGGGGCGGCGAGGCCGACGGCGGGCGGCGACGGCGCGCCGCGGCGCTTCCAGCCGCAGCCGCAGCAGCAGGGCATCGGCAGCGTTCTGGCCGAGGGCATGGCCTTCGGCGCGGGCAACAGCATCGCGCGCCACGCCGTCGGGAGCCTCTTCGGCTTCGACACGTCGCGCCCGGGGAAGGGCCTCTTCGGCGACGAGCCGGGCGCGCCGCCGGGCGCGCCGCCGGGCGCGCCGCCGTCGGGTCCCGCTTCGGGCGAGGATCCGTACGAGTGGGGCGACGGCAGCAGCGAGGACCAGTACGAGTGGGGCGACGGCGGCTTCGAGGACACGTCCGGCGACGGCGGCGACGACGGCGACTGGTTCTGACGACGTACTAGTAAAGCACGCGTGTTTGTTGTAGTCGTGGAGGTCCGGGGCCCGAGCCGGGCGCAAGGGAGGGGCGCGCGGATCGCGGCTCATGGCGAGCCCGTTCGCGGCACCGTACGGCAACGAGTGCTGCAACTCGCCGCAGCGCCAAGGCGAGCATGATGGGCTGCCCCAGCATGATCTTGCTCGTCGTCGCGGTGGCGCTCCCCGCCGCGTCCTCGGACACCCTGCGCCAGTGGCAGCGCGCGGAGGCGGTGGATGGCGGCGCGCTGCTGACGCTGCCGCCGGAGCTCGTCGCGGCCTGGGTCCTGGACGCGAACGTGCGGGCCCTCTGCGTGAGCGCCGTCGGCGCCGGCGCGACGGGCGCCGTGAGCTGCGTCGACATCATCTCGGACCCGGGCACGCAGCCGCTGCGCGTCGGCGCGCCGCTCGCGGCCGCGGCGGCCGAGGCGACGGCGACGGGCGGTGCCGTCGCGGCGCGCGTCGGCGTGTCGGCCGTCGACGCGGCCGGCCGCGCCGCGCGGTCGCCCGCGCTGCTCGACGTCGCCGTCCTCCCGCCGCCGGGCGCGCCCTGGGACGCGCGGTCGCCGCGCGCGCTCGTCGTCTGGCCGCCGGTGGGCCACGTCTGCGACCCCGCGGCGCGGCGGCTCGAGGTCTTCTTCCACCTCCTCGGCGACGTGCCCGGGGACGCGGAGATCCGCGTCGACTTCGAGGGGGGCACGCAGCTCCCGGCCCACGTGCCGACGTCCATGATCTCCATCGTGCTCTCGAGCGTCGAGCCCGCGACGCACGTCGTCTCGCTGTCCGTCGTCCGAAGAGACGCCGCGCACGTCGACGACGAGTTCGAGGCCCTGGGGCCCAAGAGCCCGGCGTCCTTCGACGCCGTGCTGAGCGACGCGGACGTCGCCAGACACCGCCACGCGCCGCCGGCGCCCCGCGCGGACGCGGCCGCGCCCGCCGAAGGCGGTGGCCCCGTGCGCGTGCTCTTCGTCGGGTCCATGAAGTGGGACGGCCAGAAGACGATCTGGCTCCAGCAGATCAGGGGCCTGGACCGGGCCCGCTTCGACCTGCGCTACGTGAGCTTCATGCAGGACGCGGAGGAGCAGCGCCACTCCAAGTTCGCGACGCGCCTCGCGGCGCTCGGCGTCGCGCCGCTCCTCGCGCCCATCCCCGCCATCGACGCCGCCGAGGCGGCGGAGGTCCCGAAGGACGGGGCGCCGCGGCTCATCGACGTCTACAACGGGTCCCAGGCGACGCTCGACGCGTACCTCGTGTCGCGGCTCGACGCCGCGGGCCGCGACGTCGACGCGTGCGACCCGCCGTGGGTCGGCCGCACCTGGCGCCACCTCGCGGACACCTTCGCGGCACTCGACCCGGACGTCGTCGTCTTCGCCAACGCGCGCGACTCGAGCGACGCGATCCTCACGGCGGCCGCGCGCGTCGCGGCGCCGCGCGCGAAGATCGTCATGGAGCTCCCGAACCTCTTCCCCTTCGAGCCCCTCGTCGCCGACGCCATCGTCGCGCCGTCCCACTACGCGGCGACGCACGCCTCCGTGGCAAACGCCGTCGCGCGCGCGCCGAACGGGCCCGCCGTCGCCGTCGTGAACCCCGGCGTCGACGCGGCGCTCTGGGGCGGCGCGTCCGCGGCGCCCGCGTGCCGCGCGGACTGCGCCGCGGCGGTGTTCCCCGCGGCCTTCGCGCGGCCCGGCGCCTGCGCCGCGCCCTGCGAGGTCGTCGGCTTCCTCGCGCGGCTCGCGCCCGAGAAGTCGCCCGGCCTCCTCGTCCACGCGGCCGCGCTCGTCGCGGCCGCGCGGCCCCTGGCGCGCTTCGTCGTCGTCGGCGACGGCGCCGCGGCGGGCGAGGTGCGGCTCCTCGCGCGGCTCTACGGCCTCGAGAACCGCTTCTCTTTCCCGGGCGCGGTCTACGGCGACGGCGCGCTCCGAGACCAGTACGCGGCCTTCGACGTCGTCGTCCAGCCGTCGCTGCGCGCCTGGAGCGAGACCTTCTGCATCGCCAACGTCGAGGCCATGGCCGCGGGCAAGCCCGTCGTCTCCTTCGGCGTCGGCGGCGTCGGCGAGTACCTCGTGCCCGCGCGGACCGTCGCCGCGTGCGCCGCGGACCCGGCGGCCTGCGACGACGCGCCCAACGGCGTCTTCGCGGACTCGGCGACCCCGGCGGCCCTCGCCGGCGCCATCCTCGCCGTGCTCGAGGACCCGGACGCGCGCGCGGCGCTCGGCGCGAACGCGAGGGCCGCCGTGCTCGACCGGTTCCAGGTCCAGGACCAGCTCCGCAAGTACGCGGTGCTCTACACGCGCCTCAAGGCCGGCGCGGACCTCG